CTCTTTGGAGATGTGTATAAGAGACAGTAGTACAGTAGAATCCCCTCCTTTGGGGCACCCCTATTAAGGGAACATTTTTTCGGCCACATAACAAGAGAGTATAGATTTTTAATACTACTGTATGGCCAACCCCTATTTAGGGGAGATCCCAATTAAGGGAACAGTTTCTTTGGTCACGAAGGTGTCCCCTTTAATAATAGGGGTTCTAATTATTTCAATATAAACAGGTCCAATCCCATTTTAAAATAAATTTGTTAATATTAGCTTTAGACATTACATTGATAGCCTATTAATAGATGCATAAATAGTACAGGATCTTATAATATCTTGCATAAACTCCTGCTTTTTTCCTTATGTATATGTGTATAGACATTTTTATATGTATAGGTGAAGAACTGTGCATTCACTGAATGTCACTGCTGTTTGGGATTCTTTGCTAATAGATATGTGTATGGGCATTTTTTTTATGTATACTGTAGTTCCTCGGGTATAGTCCCACCCAACTCCGCATACAGGCATTTCCCCGGGCAAAGTCCCAGGGTATAATTTAGGTGAGTAGGCCCAGGTCTATCTAGGTCGGCAAATTTAACAAATGCTCACAATATATAAGGATTTGGCTCCGAATTCGGCAGACCTAAAACTCTTCCAATTGATTAGAAAAGACATTCGTCGCCATAAAGTTGAATACAAAGCCCATTCTTGTAAATTCTTGTTTACTGTTGCTAAAATATCAAGCTTGATAGCTGCGGATAAAAATAGGCAACACCGCAGTACCGTCCCTAAAGAGACGCCCAGTAGGCTGATCGGATCGTTAATTCACAGCATGAAGACTCGCCTGTTCCACAGCTGTGGCTAAAAATAGACAACACCACATTTCGCCCCTAAAGAGACCCGCCCAGTGGGCTGATCCGATCGTTAATTTACAGCATGAAGACTCGCATGTTCTACACAGAGACTCTCGCTGCTAAAAAATAACTTGTTACATCATGCATCATGTGGGCTGTCTTCAAGCGATGGGTGATTGGTTGGAATTGGTTGTTGCTGGGCAAAAAATAACCTACGACGTCAAGAAAGTTTAGGCAAAGGCTGGCCCAGTTCGAGGTAAGACCAAGGTATGGCCTCTCTAGCTAAGCACTTAGGCCTACTAATTAGGGTGTTCCCTTCCTGTTCTAATGCTTCTGCCACCTCGCAAAACGATCATCACTTTCATTCTGTTCATGCACACGGGAATCCCCCCAAAATTGGGCCAATTCCGCGTTCATGGGGGGTATAAGGAAACCTTTAGTAGCTGCGGTTTGGGAGGTCTTGCTTTTTTGCTTTATGTGTATAGGCATCTTTACATCTTTATCGTCATTCGTGCCTAAGACATTCTTAGCAATATGCTGTATGAGCTGATTATGGTCTCATGCAATATGCATGAATCGCCTATGTTGTGACAGATACGCTACAGTAGTGGAAGGGTTGTCTAAAAAATTGATTACATAACCGTATTCATTATTGTTTTCGTAAGCTTACGAAAACTCCCTAATAGCAAATTGGTAAAAACTGAACATCGATCTGTGTTTTATTGAAAGTTTTTTGATACATAATTTTTTTCAAGATATCACCAAAAGTGGAATACCTTAAAAAGTGAATCACAAAGATTTAAGGTTGCCTGGGCAGTCCTATTTCTAATCCAGATTCAAATTTCAGATTTTAATGGGCACACTTTGATGGTGCACCCAAACCAACATATCCTAACTTCATAAGTTACCACTGACCCAGCACAACCCTTAACACAGGACTTAGGCTGCAGTAATTTTTAATTCATCATAGTTTGACCCTGGGCATTTATTTGTGTGAAAGAGCTCAAGAAAATGCTCGTACCTGCTCGGAAGTTGGCTCCTGAGAATTCTTGTAAATACATTTTCCTTCTCGCATATAGCTGCATATGCTTCCAGGTTGGTGTAGGCATGTGGAACATCTAGGACCAAGTCAGGCATCAGAGCATACACACGCTGGAACCCCTGAAGGAAAAATATGTATTTATTAATAAGTATAACAAAAAGTACAAGTGGAGACCACGTAGTATGCACTATATAAGTCTCCAACTATTACCATTACCATTTATTATTAATGCTATTATACTTTGACTACCCAAAAAACTAAATCAATTATTATCATAGAAGTGAGATAACTGAATATTCATTTCAATTTTTTTTTAAATTTAAAGTTAACCTGAACAATTTTAGCTGGGCGCTATAATGGTTATTCGAGGAACTGAGTGATCACACTAATTAAAACCAGATGCTTGGTTAGGTTTGAACCTGAAATATATTTTTTATTTCATTCACATCCACCAACAAGTAATTCGCCAATTACAGGAGTGACAATGCTGTATAAACCAAGTCGCTTTACGAGGCTTAGGGTGTGGGGTAGATTCTAGTCATGAGAAGACCTCTACGAGGGCCAAGGTTCCTATGCGGGCATTTGTGAAATATTGCACTACTTATTTGCGGTGTATCGGCAGTTTGGCGCAGTGGTTCAGGTTCGGGCTTTCAATCTTAAGGTTAAGAATAGGAACCTCTGGATGGCCAGAAATGACACTCAGACTGACAGACATGTGTTGGCTTGGCATGGGCCTATTCTTACATTTGTTTTATTCCAACTGCCCGACAAGCTCTGTTTGATGTGGGGGAAGGGGGGGGGAGGGCTTGACCTGTCCGCTGGGGCTTGACCTGTCCGCTGGGGGGCCTACATTACCAATGGGTCGGAGCTAACAATGGTTTCACTATACCGTACTGTACACACACTCTAGCTTTCGTTAGAAGCTGTAAAATGATTATCCTGTCAAGTATCAAGTTTGTTTTTATCAAACCACAACACAATTCTATGCTGTGTCTGTTGAACCTATTAAATCCAAACCACAGTATCTGGTATAAAATTGATGCTTTTTGGAGTGTAAAGTTTTCTGTCCAAACAACCCAGGAAAGTCCCTAGAGTCCAATCCATCACATTTAAGACAGTTAGACAATGAAAGTAAACCACATTCCATAAATGTTTTCCTCTTAACACACAGTTTACTAGTCTTTTCAAGGGTAGGGTGTATTGTCTTTCATTAGTTATGGCTTTAATATTCGTCAAAATATAAAAATTATTAAATAGGGCACAACGTCATATCCAGTTTTGCTTGGGTACGTATGTTCATAATGAACAGATATCTGGGAAGTCACTTTGCCTGTTTACAATAAACAGCGTAACATACATGTCACATACAAACATACATACATACACACGAAGGGTATGTTAAAGGTTTGCTTGAAAGCATAGGAACCAAAAATTCTGCTGTCACATGAATTGAACCCAGGACATTTGGATTAGAAGGTAAGCGTCTTAACCACCAAGCCATACAACTTACTACCGTACTTACAGTGTTTAATTGGTCTACAGTGATGACCCCAGAATCATACATGACTTTCATAAGTTTTGACATCTTATTAGCAATTGTGTGGCCAGGATCTTCAAGGTGCTCAATGACCATGATAGTGGACTGAAAACAACAAAACACATAATTACAATATATTTATCCATCTCATTATATTTGTAATGTAGCTAGATTTATGCACTTGAGGTGTGGACTTGCATACATACAGGAAATTGCTTCTCCCATAAGGGTCTCTTCGTGTCTGAGATACCAGATAAATCAGTACCACCTACTGTACTCTCAAAATGCTTGAGGTGTGGACTTTGTGTTTTGATCTCTTCGTGTCCTAGCTACCTGGTAAACTGGTACCAGGTACTCTGAAGTGTTTGAGGTGTGGACTTTGTACTGTAACTTGCTTTTTGGCGGATTAATATGACCCATGTGCAACATTCATAAAAGAACATAATGTATACTATTAAACTATTGAAACAAAGTATACTTTTAAACTATTGAAACAAAGTACCATAGGAAACTGTTTCCTGCATTATTACCCAATTCACCACCAGAAGGACCCTTTAGCAAGTCCGAGTCTTTGAGACAGAAGAGCTGATCATTTGGGATCCACAATGCCATATACAGGTCTCCCTCTAATTAAAGATTCCTCCAATTAAAGACTACTTTTCCATGGTCCTAAATTAACAAAGTCTTTTATCTTTATTATTCTAATTAGTGACCAAAGCTGCCAAAGACCATGGAAACTCAGGCCATTTACAGCTCCACAAACTACAATATTACCATGTGAAATGTCTGTGCTTCATTTCTGAAACTCTTTAATAATCCTAAATACAACTAAAAACAATTGGCTTGACATAAAATAAAACAGAGCCTTGCAGGTGTCAACGTTCCTATGCATGATACATGACTTAACCAACCATACATGTATTTTCTGATTAAGTCATCATAAATGACATAATCAGAAAATATGGTTGGGTCAAATTTGTGTGGTGGTTAAAAAATTCAGGGTGAGTCTTTATGGCCCAAAATAGTGATTTTAGACCACATTGGTAATGTAATTTGATAGGCAAATTACAGTAATATTTTTAGCAAATTTCTTTGAAAAAATTTTGTAGGCCTAGGGCCTAGCTATACAGTACTTTCATTTTACAGTAGTTTGGAACGATATCGGGAGTGGGGGAGCTGGCAGTGGCCTACTAGACTACAATTTATTTGAAAATAGCTTGGGCCCGATCGTCCACACCAGTTGGGCCCAATCGTCTGTCACCCGAAGTTTTCATCACGATGATCAAGAACGTACACGATCTAGGCCCTAGGCTAGGCATAGCCTTGTTGCTGTCACTCTGCTACTTATACTACCGCGTAACAAAGAAAGCGACCCACGCGGTGCATTCTTAAATTTTACACACATTATTTAAATGTATTTTACGTATTAGACGATAACACGATATCATTGATTAAACTATCTACCACCCTCGCATCGCAGTAACTACTGTACTAAATTAGGCCTAGGCCTCATGTTTTTGTGGAAAGCCTAAGCTAGATAGTCGTTATGTACCTGACAGTCGACTGCTTTTATATCTTTACTTGTCTTCAGTTTGCATTTAAAGCGTACACTGCTGCATAGCCAACTGTCAGGGATACAGTACCTAAATATGACTACTCATACAACAGAAAAAAAAACGTCGCATGGAGGAAGCGAAAAATGGAGATCTAAATAAAAAAACTATGTATTTTAGCAAGTATTAAAACTTTTTTTTATTTTAGGCCTTCTTCAAAATGCCTATGCCTACAGCAGTTGATTTTTTTTTTGCCGCAAAACCAAAATAGTTCCATCCATGCCGACTTGCCGATCGGTTAGCGCGAGCCCTGACTGAACACTGCAGAAACTTCACATCGAACTTCGCATAGCAAGGAAAAACAAAATGTCGGAAAACTTTTTTTTTTACGCATGCACATTTGCATAAATGTCTACACACACTACACGCAGGGAACACAGTCATAAGTGATTACAATAGTTCCTATTGCATTACATGCATAGGAACTAAAAATCAGCCTTGATCAGACAAACAAAAACTTGACAATTCAAAGGTAGATTTACAAAAGGTGGTTAATTTAACAATATAGTGTTTATAGAGCTATCCCCTGCTTTCTATACCATTAATTGCTTGTCTGGTTCAGGTCTGTTATTTTTTGTGCTTTTGTTATTGTTGTTAATTTTGATGATTTTGTCCTTGTGTTTTTTGAAAGCAATTAAATGCAAACAGTCAAATAATAAATCCAAGATTTAGCATGGGAAATCACTGAAAAATATCTCATATTTTTTCATCTGATTAAAAAATCAATAATAAAATTAATAACTTTTATAGGATAATTTTGCCAATTTTTACAATACACTGATTAAATGTGACTTTATTTTATATTGTATTTAAAATTTATAATATTAGTGAAATTTGAAAATATCAACAAACTCTAAAAATCTTGTCATTAATTGCAAAATGTTCATTTTTAACAGTTAAAGAAGAGTCATTGTCCTTTATTGTGATGATATGTATGACTGGCTCTGGCAAAACCAGTCGTCTGTGGGAAAAATATAAAATTTAGTTTTTGGTATTTTTAGATTCTGCATGAAATCTTCTTTTAATTTAAAACAGTGTATTATTTGATGGAAATTAGTTGAGTATTAGTTATGAATAATTAATTCATTGAACATCAGCCATGTAGGTTCTGAGAAAACAGCTTCCAAAGATTCCAAAATCAATTATTTAAGATTTGTATTTTAAATATAATTTTAATATACCTTTCAGTTAGATTTAGTGATGATATTTTGCAATAATGTTCTACAATACAATCTTCTTTTTCATAAAATTCAAAAAGATGAATATGTTCTGATTTTCTAACATTTTGTGTGCTAAGCACATAAGGGCGAGTTTTGCCAAAGGTGGTCACATAAATAATTTTATGTTGCATATATCTGAACACTACAAAACTCACAATCTGGCGGAAATATGCAACTCATTTTAGTTACGTAACAGTCCAGTGAACAGCATTCATAATTATAGCTTGCCAAAACGTCTAAATAGGAAGGCCTGGATACAATATACCTCATTGCCATCCAACACATGATGACACATAACAAAATGAAACAACATCCCATAAATCACCCATCACTGTGATTGTCAAGGTTATTGTGATATTTATGGACAGTGCACAGATTAGGAACAAACTTTCCAATCAGGGGACTAAATTTTGAAACCTTATGAATAATTCATGAGATTATCTAAAAGTGTATACAGACATATGGTAGCAGCTAGGAAAAACTCTCAGGGGTCATAATAATAATATATTAATCCATTTTCTTTTTTTACATTGCATTAAATAATATATGAAGATATGAATATATTTAATCATTGAAAAAACATTCAGTTAGTTTTATTACAAACATCTTTTAATGAAACATTTTAGCAAAATGCTGCTCATTCAGAAATAATCAGTATTTTTCACTATATCTAAAACATATACAGTAGAAAAAAAATTATTAAAAAACATTTAATAAATTCATATTGTTTCTAATAACTATTTAGAATTTTCTTGATAGGAACAGTAATGAAAGTTCACATAAACTACTGTAAAGAAAATTACACTGCAGTACCCCCTGCTACCGGGAGATCAGATTTAAAGCTAGTCACTAAGCACAAGTTTGGTGGTTATGACGCCAGGCTTGCATATCTGTAGGATGTGGGTTCGATTCCTACCTAAATCACTTGCTAATTTTTAGCACATATTTGGGAATGTACTAAGTATTCAGTACGATAACACTCAGATAGGGAAAAACATTCCTCCTAAGATTGAAATAGGTACCAAATAAAATCATGAAAATATTGTTGGAGATGAGACTTACTTCATATACCACCTCATGGTGAAAGTGAGGCACCTCCAGATCCCGAAGACAATGAATCGCTTCCTCAATGTCACCTGAAGACAAGTACTCCTTCAATAACAGAACAATCTTTCAAGGAGAAAAATTTGCAAACATGATGTATTTACCAACCATTTATTACAAATTTTTAATTTTTAAATGAAAAATAATCTCATTAATCAGTGTTAAATCCAAAAATTTGAAAACTAGGGGCCAAGAAAAGGACTTCCACAGATGGAAGGCTTAGACCATATCAGCCCCACCATGGTTGGGGCTGAGGCAAGAAAATTTATGATTATCACCTCTAGATGGCTGGAAATGGCACTCTTGGACTTCAATTTAAATATAATTTTCTTCTTTTTTCCTTGATTTTTTAAATAATTTTGGAAAATTTAGGGGATCTGGGTTGGTTCCCCACCACTCCGCCTTTCGAATCCATCACTGCGATAATAATTGATTTGATATACTATCTTAGAAGAGCTACTGTAAACAAATAAAAGTCTTTGGTTGACTGTTTGACTGTGAAAACGTTTTCTATGAATATACAGTATTTCCTTCTGAATTCCTGATACTCTGTCATTTAAACTAATTTCATTTTTAACATGTCTAAATGCTGATCAAATTTCATATTTTGTTTGCTGACATACCCAAATCAGACTAGCATTGCATTGAGACCGTTGTAACAATTGTGACATCCAACCGCAATTCACAATCGTGTGTGAATGCTCACCAGTAATAGTCGATAGTAATTGATAGAATTGTGCCTGATTTGGTGGGAATGTGCCTGTTAGTTGCGATCGTGAGTAATCAGTTTTTGGATTACCAACAACTACATCGCAACTGATCGCAATGGATTGTAGTCTGAATAAGGTGTAAATATATTTTCCAATTCTGTTTTCAAATGAAAAGTGAAAATGAAAAAGAAAAAATGAATTTCAGTGTTCTCCCTAGCATCATGGGCAAGCGTCAGTGTTCTCCCCAGGCCCTTGAAGCGTCACGGTACCGTGACGCTTGGGACTTCGTCCCGGTGCACTGTGACGCTTCCAAGCTGGCCGTGACGCTTGATGCGTCTTCCGTGACGCTTTGAAATATCGTCAATAAAATAATTCAAAATAAACATTGCTGTCCTTGTATCCTAGTTTGAAGAAGAGTGAGTGTGAAAATATTTTAAACACAAAACAATGCTATCTTACGATATTGGTTTATCAGCCCAAGTTCATGCTTCATCTTTTTGCGTTCATTTTGCGTTATCTTTACCTTGAGAAATGTCACTTTCATTTCAAAACACAACGTTTGTTTGATTCACACAAACTGTTTTCTTCAAAACTGCGTGGCCTACGTGGCCTATGTCTTTTTAGCTATAGCTAGGCCTACTACTAAGTGGTTAGCCTACCAAATGAATAGGTAGACAAGAAAGACGTGACGATTCACACACAATAGTACGTAGGCCTATGCCTATTAAAATGAATATTGTACAAACAAATCTGTTTTAAGAAGACCAATTTCCTTGTTTTGACATGTACGTAAAATTTACGTTCTGCTATGATACAGGTAGTGGCCTGCCAAGCAGTTTGAAGCTAAAATTTAGGCCTAGGCCTAAACTAGGTTGGCCCAAAATTGCCATCCTGTTGCAACTCTGGCTAGGCTATAATAGTAGTACAGTATATGGTCACTAATTTCACAAAAAAATTTGTTAAAAAATGGAAATCTATAGTCATTTCAAAATTCTTAAAAAGCATTTTTGATTTCTGAGAGTGCCATTTCCGGGAATCTAGGTCATTATTTTAAAAAATTTCCCCCAACCATGGTTGTGGGCGGGAGGGGGAGTTGGTGGGGGAACGTACCATGATGCTTGACCCTCATCCTGGGGAGAACACTGCATGCGTCATGGTAAGTGTTAAGTCCACCATAGTTGGGACTGACGCAAGGTATTTTTAATAATTAGGAGGCAATGAAATGTCCTAAATTGCACTTTAAGACTATATAAAAGCAGGGGACAGTTAAATAATAACTGTTCCCTGATAAAAGCATCATGGAAGATGTTCCAAGCATCATGGCAAACTGTCAAGCATCATGGTACCATGATGCTTAAAGGGCCTGGGGAGAACACTGAATTTCATAGTGAAAAATATGCAAATAAATTAAAACAGCATACTATCATATATGCAAATAAATTAAATCAGCATATTTCATAGAAACGCAAGATGACATTATTATATCTTGTGTTTCATAGAAAGCTGACAATAGAGTACTGTAGATCTTACTGAATAAGTAATTAGAACATTATAATTTAAATATCGAGGGTATTTCAGAGACTGCATAAAGTAGATGTTACACCGAGGCTGTAGATATCACAATACAATAACAACATTAAAAATATTACATATTATTATTATAATGCATCATTCCAAAGGGACTTAGCCTGTTTACAAATAGATAAAACTTTAAAAAAACAAATATGATATCAATAGAGCTTTTCTGAAGATTCCATCATAGGCATACTGTTACTGTTACAAGCTTTGACTCAGGTAGCAGTATTGCTCTAAGCATTAATAATTACATTAATCGATCTTAGACGTCTGTTTGGGGAATATAATTTTAAGAAATTGCACCAAAGAATGTGGATGGTAAAAATGTACAAAATTTTAAAACATTTCTTTAAAGGTGTGTATTGTTCCATGAAATATAAAAAAATAAATACAAAAAATATAAATTAACTTTAATAACATTTTGAAGTAACAAAAATTATCAATTTTAAAATAGAAATTAATGTATTTAAAAAATGTTTACCCATAATTTTACAGTGGAAAATGATAGAAACTCTTCCAGTCACTGGAATGTTTTTATTATTTTTGTCTTTATACAGTATAAAAATGAGGGTACCCATTTTTAAATTCAATACTTTCTATGCTCTGTCAGTGTTTATTAATTTTTTCCTTATTATAAAAATGAGGAACCCATTCAATAATTTCTATGCAAGTTAATAATTTGTATATTACTGCAAAATGAGCAAAATAATTTCAAAATTATTATTAATATTAGAAGAACTTTCTTTAAGTAAATGATTTTATAAGTAATGATTTTTTAAGAATATTCTAAAGACCTAAAAATTAAAAAAATTATCAAAAATTATTATTAATATTTGAAGAATTTTCTTTTAAAGTAAATGATTTTTTAAACCAGAACCCTGTGGGTGTGTATGTTCCTTTGTACGCAAAAACTAAAAACTCTCTGATTGGACCACCTAGTCTAGGCCTAGCTAGGCTTGCGTCGCGAAAGAAAGAACTGCCGACATGTATGGGTTTTTGTCCTAAATTCGTGGGCTATTACATTTAATTCATACTTATATTTGAATAGCATACAATTGTGAAAACATAGTGATTTGAATGTGTGGTTTAATATACATAATAAACATGTAATTTAGTTTTAACATGGAGGTATATTGTTCTATGTCTACTGTTCTCGTGATAAAAACAAATGTTTTTCACATCTGTATCATCCCAATAGTTCCACTGTGACCTAAGGTCACAAAGGAACTAATAATGATTTTTTAACAACATATCTAAAGACCTATTAGAACCTTTTTAAGTAGTGATTTTTTTTTAAGTAATGATTTTTAACAGTATATCTAAAGACATAACAATATAAAAAAATTATTAAAAATTATTATTAATATTAGAAGAATTTTCTTTAAGTAAATGATTTAAATTAATAATTTTTTAACAATATACCTAAAGAATAGTTAAGTAGAAAATTTGAAGCTGGTACTTCATCGTAGTTAAAGTGCTCATTTATGAATTAATTCAATTCCTTACAAGTAGCAATAATGTACCACAAGTAGCAGTCCTATGCTCCAATTGGGTTCTTATTTGGCTTTGATTTATAATTATTTGTTTTTTATTGTTTTTTGAGCAGTAGGACAATTTAATGAAATGTGGAAGAGGTTAAATTTATTGATATTTTAAAATAACTTCAGCCAAATGGTGTTTTTAATTCCATAAATCTTCTTAATGTTTTAATATTTTAACATGCTTTTAACTACATTTTAACATTTTATAAATTTGGTTGTTTTCAGTGCAGTTCGTGTATCTTGATGTTTTATATTTTTGTAACAGACTTTAGAAAAAATGTTATGAATGTATAATCAACCACAGTCTCGAACCATGTTTATATTATTGTGTTCATGACCAATAAATAAATCTTGAATCTTAAGTGAACTACCGATTAGCCTGTTTACTATATGAAACACTCAACATGCCATTTTTTATCATTATCATTTTTATCTATTTTAAGAAAAGGCTTATTTTATTATTGATGGATAATAATAAACACACTTGAACACACTTACACAAGCAGGTCAAAAAAATAGTAAACACCTCAAGTAAAAACTAAAGGTACTCTAAAACTGGAATACAGTAGAACCCCTCATTTACATACGGCATGGGCCCAGAGCCGTTCGTAAATGAGGGTATTCGTAAAATCGGGGTTGACCCAAATTCCTATATATTTGCACTGGTACTACCTACACTGGCCTAGGCTAGGCCTAGGCTAGGCCTACACAGCTAAGTCTGAGGGGGCCTAGGCCTATAGTAGGCAGCTTCTAAGCTTTCTGATCCCACTCTAGGCCCTACACAAATTTGTTTTTATCGGACATTTTTACCTTCTTAAATACCTAGATTGTGGATTTTACTCCAACACAACTTCCATAGATAGTTGTTTATTATATATATTGATCAGTCAATAAAACAATCAAGCACTATGTTGAATTTTAAAGCTGAAAACGATGTTTGAAAGAGAAGTAAAATTTGTTGCATGCACATGTGTGAAGCCATAAAAAACACTGACTTTGAAGAGGCCTGTTAGAGGGCCTCCTTCACTTGGGAATTACATAATACTGTATAGTATGGTGTGTTGTGTTGTATGCATAATAACAGTTACAATTCGAGCGGATTTTTTTTTTTTAATCTTTCGCTTAAATTGTTATGATGTCATCACCTTTATATTACATTCATAAAATCGAGAATTTGTTAAATCGGGGTTCGTAAATGAGGGTTTCTACTGTATTCTTAATGCAATGGATGAATAACAATACATTTTATTGTAAGAATGAGGCTTTATCAACACAAACAGATTCAGATTATTCACAACACAGCATTTCTACGTGGGTTGGTAAGTTCATCCTTCAAACAATACCAAAATACGTAGAAGGGTTCAAACACAAGATTATTTTGTCTGTGAATAAAAAATTTATTAACAAAGCGATGCAGAAATCGAATGAAACATGTACATGAACATACCCTCTTGATTAGAATTTTAGTTGGCCTTCGTCCACCGCCTACTCCCCACACGTCATCCAGTCGGCACAGTCCATGCTTACGATTCAACAAGTTATCTGCTTTATCCAGTGATTCTCTAGCATAAAAATATAATATCTAACGTTAATAAATGTACAAAATATTAAAATAAATTACACATTCGGATTTATCTACATATTTTAAATTACACAACCACAACCACAGTGGCAACTAGAAATCAGGGTCGAATATTTACATTATATTTGTTTAACAAATAAGCCTTGGCCTATATACAGGAACTCACATGGTTGCATTAAATGCCCTAATTGTCAGGACATGAATGTTTACAGAAATGAATGAAAGTGGTCTGTGTTAACTTATATGCATGGTTACAGAAACTCTCCAGGCCATCCAATGTTTTAATTAGATTGGATTTATTCCATGTAAACACCAAGGATAGCCCACGAAAGTCTAGAAGAAGACATTTCCAGCGGGGTCCTTCTGGTGGTGATTGGGTAGTACACCGGGAGACAATCCCCTACTCTTTTCCGAAGAGTGTACTGCATTAATCAACGTACACATGGGCCATAAATGCACACGGTACCAACGGCTTAAACGTCTCATCCAAAAGACGGCGCGCTATTGTAACTTGTATTTCAGCCCTCCAGCTGAAAAACAGGGAGAGGCAGCATTAGAAATTGAACCTAAGCTGCTCTCTTTGTTCTGTGTTGTATTATTATTTATTGACAATTAAAGTCAATCAATCAATCTTTGTTAGCTTTTGTTTACATATCATACCATAATTAACACTATTATTTTCATTATAAAGGGACCTACCAAGTAGCAGCAGCTAATAATACATGTTTCAAAGTGCTACTTTGCAGAATTTAATATAGTAAATCATACCTTAACAAAGAATTTTACTAACCAAAATGTAGTGATGACTTTATAGTTAGCATGGTCCCTACAATAAAGCCCAAGATAATAGTTAAAAAAAAAAAAAAAAGCTGCCCAACCAAACCTGATTTTCATATTCTCCAGTACTTGGACAAAAAATACAAAGTTGTTTTTTTTTTAGTCCAATCATCATTATTCTCATTAATATATGACCTACCTCATAAGATCTGAGTGAACTTTGCCCTTGAAGTCCTGAATAAAACGTGGCGGGAGGCAGTCATCCGCAATAGCCCGTGCGATAAACTGTCCAATCATCTGAGAAAAGCATACAAAATGCATTAACTCATGCATGTTTCATTATTCTCACACCTACCTACCAATCCATCTTTTATCTTGAAAATATGATTTTTCAACATGCGCTTATTCTTAATTGTTGCCAGCTGTAAGGAGATACTTACAGGCAACAACTAGGAATATGGGACAAGTGTACAATTACAGCTACACACAGATGTGGAATTTTAAAATACAGGGAGGTAGTGTAACAGTAGCTGGATAGTGAAAGAAGACACAATATAGGTCCTATCATTATTCAACTTTAGTGAAAGATTATATTTCACATTGCTACTTCAAGATTCAACTGTAATGTTGTTACTTGCTATTATTAATCCAGGGGCTCCTTAGGCTCAACACCAGAAATGCTTAAGGACACTTTATATGAAGACTTATTTCCTTGCCTCAAGAGCTTTAAATATTAGTATATATTATATAATATATATTGATATTATAAGTATAATATCAATCAATCAATCAAAAATTTATATTGCACCGATTCCAAAAAAAATGATCAAAGGCGCATTGTACCCTGAAGTTTGGTGAACAAATAAGTCTTTAGGTTTATTTTAAAAGAATCTAGGGAGGACGAGTCTTTAACAAATAATGGTAGTAAAGTCTTAGTACGGAAACAAGGAACAGATAGCAATGATTTGTCAGAACAACGGAATGGAACATATCGTGGAATGAGTTGAGTGATATATGATGGACGAGAAAATAATAAAGCTTTATATGTTAAAATGAGGATCTTGAAAAAAGTTCGTTCTTTAACACGCAGCCGGTAAAGAGAAGAAGAGGGCAGCCGAAAAAGAAGGGAATTGCAGTAATCGAGTTTTGTTGAAATAAAAGCATAAACAAGAGTTTCAGCTGAGTTTTTGTCAAGGTACTGTCTGATTCGGTGGATATTTTCGAAGATAGTAATTAGATGATTTGCAGATGGAACTGGTACGCAGGTGGAAATTGAGGGATTGGTCCAATATCACACCAAGATTATAGACTAATGTTGCAGATTTAATTTCAATTGTATTTAGTTTAAGCGATGAAAATTGATTCGGTGATAAAGTAAATTTGGAGTGAAATTATAATTTTATTTTTTTTTTTAGGGTTAAGTTTTAACAAATTATATTACATCTATGATTTGATTTCATAATAACAGTTTTGAAGTTAATCAAATACAGAAAGCTGATTAGATGGGTTGAAAGGAAGATATATAATTGAATGTCGTCAGCATACATGTGGAATTGGATTTCGTGTGAACGAATGATATTGGCAACAGGACCAAGCACAGAACCTATTATCAGTAAAATATTTTCTATTGTGAAGTCGATAAATATCAATTGAATCTAAAATTTATAATAATAATAATATCAATAATAATAATAAAAATCAAAAGAATCTAAAATTTATAATAATAATAATAATAATAATAATAATATTAATGATAATAACAATAATAATTTTTCCACTCTCTTTCTTCCATAAACCACACACATGAGAGGGACGTTTCAATGTGATACTGTGTGCTATAAATATCAAAAAGTCAAAGTCTACGGCCTTACCATTAACTTAATAAATAATTATGTGATATTAGAATATCCTAGATTATATTTAGTAGAATTCTTTCCCGTCTCAATTAATACAATATGGCACGGTACCAAGCAAGACATAGCAGATTTTTCCACATTTTGGTACATTATTGGGCTAATTACTGTACTGTAGGAAGGTGTGTTCATGTGCCAACCTATACCCATCAACCCTCACCAGTAATCACATTGAATTATGGCATATGAACCCTCCTAAGGCAACACCTTTTTTATACCTTGTTTAGCAAACCTGCCACCCTCCAATAATGATGATTTTGAATAAAAATAAAACTTTATTTTTGGCTAATTAGTAGGTACCGGCAACAATTTTTAAAAGTTTTTTTTACAACATATTTGTTCATCTCACCAGATAGAGGGCATGAAAACTAAGAGAATGGTACTTAAATTTTTATTTTTGGGTGGTTGGTTGCTGAGATATGGCCATTCTAATATCTGCATTTTCGCGCACGCCGTAAAAGTGTAAAACGTATGGTTTTCAGCATGCTGTAACGACAAAAGTATGTGAGCTACGCAATTCATTTTTTTATTACTTTATTGCAAACTTTTATAAACTATATAAAATATCAAGGCAATACTATGGATAGTTTTTGAGATATAATTGTCTGAAATGTTGAAAAACCTCAATATTCACAATCCGCGAATAAACAAATATTAGCTTGCGGACAGTTTTCAAACATTGCTAAATCAATAAATTGACGTACTACATGCCTGAATTCCAATGGTTGCACACTATCTAGTACATATAATATGCCTATTTTTTTTCAGGTGTCCACAAATAATACTTTTTTATCTACAGCAGTCTGAATGTGCTTCAGAAGCCAATTTTATCAATGGCAAAAAATGGTAAAATTAAACAAAAAACGTCGATTTTAAAAGACTAAAACTTTGGAAATAATAATGCTACACTCAAAATTTAAAAAGTAAACTTAAGAGCCTGTTGTCACCTTTCAAGGGTAAATGAAGGCAATTCCATAGGATAAAGATGTGTATAAGAGACAGCACCTAGCTCCCTCCGCTGTCATAGTTTTCAATAGGTACTTTCATGGGCTGTGCGCGGCGCCGCCAGGTTTGCTGTACTCACTAACCCAATTCTCTACTGAGTGACTATACTTCTAGTACGTTTTATATATGTTTTTTATATATGTTTATTGTGAATGGATTTGAACATATTTAGTACCATATGAAAGATAATGAAATAAGCTTTACAAAGGTGTTTTTAAAATTAATATTTGATCAATAGTTTTCAAGAGAGACTCAATTAAAAAAGATGAATATCATTCCAGTTTCCGGAAATTCCACTAAAAACCTGCATAGTTTACACTTCCTTGCCGGTACCTATAATTAGTGCACCCGTTGCCACAAAAAATGGAAATAGGCTACAGTAGAGGCAAAGTTCTATCATTTCACAGTCTATTTTACAGCGACATAAAAATAGGCATAAAGGAACAATTTTTTGACATAGCATTTCATGCTATTATTGGATCATTGGACACATAATGTAACTGTCTCTGTTCCATATGGAGTATTCCAGCAAAACCAATTTATAAACAGTCACTATTTTTATCATGTAGGCCTATTCATTTATAATAAATTGTAGATAAATTTCCTTGCCACAAGCTAATTGCTAGCATGGTACTGAACCCCAACTGTACATTTTAGAGCCTATCCCACTGGTTCCCAGTTTATCTGTCCATTAAATAGAAAAGCCATTGACAACTTTAAATGAATTTGTTCAAATATTGGGGGATTAAAATGAATATTCCAAATATCCAAATTTGCACAATAAATCATTTGTGTGTTACATTAGAGTATGGTTTCTATAACATATTATAGTTTGATTGATGGAATTGGAAAGTATTTTATGGTGGTAGCAAAAGTAATAAAAACATGAATCAGAACTGTGGGACATTAAACATAAAACTGAGCTACAGTAATTAGAGAATGCATACAATTGGCATTATTGAGGACAAATGTAGTATCACACCATAATTTTACAAGAAGCAAATCTAAAAACACTTTGTTCTTGCCAACGGCAGCGAAAGTAGGAGGAGCAGGGGGGGCCATTGGCCCACCCACTCTTTCTACTGGGGGTCTGGCTCCCCCACTTTTGTGACTGTTCCCAGCACCAGTGACAAACATTTTACGAATGCTGCAATGTCACCATTATTATTATTATTATTATTATTTGGTGCTTAGACACCTTGTTTATTTGCGCCTTATAAATTGACCTATTATTATTATTTATAAAATATAGATTTTTTTTTTTCATTTTCTAAGGAGCATTACAAATTCCCTTTTTGAGTTGAGCAACCAAATGTTGATTGACGTCTGTATACACGCGTCTGTAAAGTTTCCTTGAAACCCACCCTCAAGCATGAAGAAAAGATCACCTGCCTTCGTGAATTCTGTATTTAGGCATATTGGGCGAGGGGGGGGGGGGGGGGGGGGGGGGGGGGGAGGGGGTTTAAAATCCGATTTAAATTTGCTTCTCCTACATAATTCGAAATGGTTTTTCTTCATTCAAATGTGTTTGTATTTGTAATTTAGGTATTTTTTATCTGGACCCCAAGGAAGAACAATGTCCTCACACTGATTGTGTATCAAAGGGGCTAGAAATGTTTACATAATGTCCTCACACTGATTGTGTATCAAAGGGGCTAGAAATGTTTACATACCTCAGGGGCTCCTGGTGTGTCCAACGTTAGGTCATTGAGGCTTTCTAGCAATCTCAGAAATCCCATCTTGAGGTGATCCATGGAAATGACCTTCTTTCCAAAGAGGTCTGAGATAAGAGCTGAGGTCATCTCCTTATGCATGGCTTTTTTCTCCAGTGCAAGTGTGACAGCCAGAGCAGGAACGTTGTGGTGGTTATCGTTGATGTTCAGTTCTTCAAGGCAAGCCTACAAAAAAAAAAAGATGGAGAAAAGAATGATAACTACAATCCATATATTTAAGCAATCTTTATATGGTATACAATACTTAAAGCTTTGTCCACACTATCAACTTTTATATGAAAAATACTATGATATGCCTATATATGGGCATGATGACGTCTGATTGGATTTCTTTGGTGTGTCACCAAGGACAACCCACTTACTTCCTGTGGGGGTCCTTCTGGTGATGATTTGTTCTGTACATCAGGAGATAATGCCCTACTCTTTTCGAAGAGTGTATTGCGTTCTTTAACATACATATGGGCCATTTTGCACTCTGGACCAATGGCTTTTCTTAAGTTAAGAAAAACCATGTTAAATAATTTTTTTAATCCGAGCATGCACTGTCAAAATAGATTTGAGATATGTTTCAACAGTAGAATATTCAGTGATTTCTACTAAACACTTGAATTAAGTCAATAGCTATAGCAATTACTGAAGACAGTGCACTTTTGAAGCTTGAATTGCTGCCTTCCAGCTGATACACAAGGAGAGCAGCGATGGGTATTGAACTGGGGACCAAGAAATCTCCATGTTTCAGCACACACACAGTGGCTACCACTAGTTTAGCTGACTCAGCTTGCTGCTTTCTCATACAGCAACTCCATGGGTATGAAAATGTCATATAATTTGTATATAGCACCCGCTATGTAAAAAATCACGAAATAGAGTGCCCTCTGTTATTTTTGAAAAAATTGTAGTTGGTGGAACTGCAACTGAATACAGTCGTCGGTCTGTAAACCACTTCATTTTTCGGGTATAATCAGCCAATACATTTTATCTTTCAGGCATGAGCTAACCCACTTGCCCGACGCCCGGGACAAGTGTTTTTTACGGTCGGAAAACAAGAATTTTAGGGACCACTTTTAGAATAGGCTACTTCCCCATGTAATGCGTAATGCTTTCACAGTACTTATAAAAAGTATGACTCCTGACAATGCGCAGCATATTTTAGTAACATATTGTCGGCGCTCAAAGAGAGATCAAACAGAAACCCGACTATGCCATGGTTATGCACAGCACAGTGTTCATCAAGTTAGAGTCACCAACAATCCCGCGATTTATTGATGGCTTAAAAGAAAAAATGTAGGCCTACTCAATATAAAATTTGTTATTTTCTGCAGTAAAGTATGAAAATTAATTCTTAAATCGTTAAATGTTAGCCAGATCTATTGTATGTTTACACATTAGACCTACAACAGATCTACATATTTTCCCACGATATCGTACCTGTAAGCCGTCAGCCGCCTGGGCCTGCTGCATGTTGTCTGTTTACAATATAAATTCGCACTGGTCTAGTCTATAAATACCAGACATATACCAAGATTTTGGGCGCACAGCCATTAGTTGATAAGTTAAGTTGGATGACATGAAGTGTCTGGACTTCAAGATTAGTAATTACTTTCGAGTACGAATATGAACAGCAGCCATTAGGCCGACTTCAAAATAGGCCTAGTTATTTCGTTTGTGCGTGTGGGGAAGGCAATAACCTAGACAGATAAGAAAGGGTAGTTATATTGGGATCTAAAGTAATTAAAAAAAATCATTCACTAAGTGATGATGATAATGTGCATATAAAATCCAAATCTTTTAAAACTGAAGTTTCAAATTGAGGGTTTAGGGCCTATAAATGAATCATTTTTCCGTCTCAAAAACATTGTTGTCTAGGAGATTCTCTAGAAGAGATTCGTCCCCTCGGCCCATGCTCAGAGTTATAACAGGCCTACAGTGCTTGTCTTTCGTTGAGAGGTAAGCAATTTTATTTATTTTGCAATAAATTAAATGACGATGTATCAGGCTGTAAAATATTCCCCGCAAAATATATTAGGCCCAGAAATCCATCGCCGCATTTTGAAAATAGGCCTATGTACCGATTTCCACGGATATTTTGCAGAAAATTGAGGGCTTGATAGTAGGAACACAAGCTCATGCGCGAGACTCGCACATTATGGGTGAGAATTGGCAGGTGTAATATCATACTACAATTGAATGTATTGTCTCATAAACCTTGGCTATATGGACAGAGAGCTTTGGAGCTAAGCCAAGGATTGCTTTTTTGCATCACTTGGTACAATAGAGTGTTGTGTTCTCTGCAGAATGTAGATTCAGGCCATGCATCCCAGTAGAAACAACATTGTTGTATGCACAGATGACTTAATACAACGTTAGTACATTCTAGACCTTGTCATTGTCATTTAACTGAAAGCCCTCTAATACTGTATTCCAACCTAAACAAAAATTATACTGTGTTGGTCAATGGTATTGGTAGAGCTACTTTAAGCAGGGTTCGAATATACTATCTATCTTATTCTACAACAAGGTCTGTAAATTGTTTTGAAGTATAGCCCTATTCTATAAATATAAGTGTAAAGTCCGTTGCTAGGCCTAGGCCTGGATTAGGCAACTTGACAGCAAAAACCACAGCAGTGGAAGGCCCTTTCTACAGCAATTGCTGTCAGTCTGTGCAGGCCTGGAAAGAAAATGTTTGGGCCTCTGACCATAAAATTTGTATTGATAAAATGCCTCCAGCACCAAATATTATCTGTACACTACTGTATATAAGCTATATATAGCCTAACAGTTTTTTTTTATTTTTCCCTCAAAATTTCTCTCAGGATGTTCATGATGCCTCTGATCGTGCGGTCACACTTTTTCCAGCCCTGGTGGTGTGGCGAAATTTAAAACATTGATAAGTATTTTTTTAAGTTATAATAAAATAAATTATACTAGAAATCACATAATTGTTGACAACATGTTTCCTTTTGACACCAAACTTAAAATTATAAATATTACAAAACCATATTTTGTAGCAAGTAGTCATCACATTTCATCAACCCATTCCAACATTTCTCTGAGCCTGCATTTATCATAATTCAAAATAATACTGTAACACTACCATGAAGCGTTAGTAATACAATAATAACATTATTAAAGGGAATGACCTCCACATTTGCAGGCATTGTGAAGAACATAAGCATCACATGATGACAAACTATTGATTTTTAACTGTGTTTGTACCACAGGTTGATTGACCCTGTGGTGGGCTAGGAATTGAATACTATTCTGGGGGTGTTTGTGATGCTACTGCTACTCTGGGTGAATGGTTAATAGATTATAATTGAATGCTTTATCTATACTATGGGGTGACTGACCCTGTGGTAGTTAGCAACAGATTTGTTGGCAATAGATACTATGAAAACTTAATGGACCACACCATGCACACCCAATTCTCACACAAATAGCTATAGTTTCATGTTTAGAAAGGCTACAATGTTTTGTTATAGCTACAGTTTTATGTTTAGAAAGGCTACAATGTTTTTTTGTTTTTTTTTCAGGATGAACTTAATTAATCCAGGTGGGTTCATCCCCTCACCTGACACTTTGACCACCACCAACAACCCTAGCTCCAGGGTGTACGGTAAGAATGGCCCCGGAAAAAATGGCCCCGGAAAAAAGGGCCCTGGAAAAAATGGCCCCATATGACAGGTAGGTAAAAATGGCCCC